TTTAAAACAACAAATGTGTAAAGATCTCGGGTTTTAACTCACCCATTTTTTGGTTAGTAATCTTTTTGGAAGGTCTTCTCTCATTCAGATGATACTTGCTGTACTTAAGAACAAATTTCTCGAAGGCGACTGCCACCCGAAAGATGGCTTCTGTTCTTTCCTTTATTTCTTCCTTAGAAAGTTGGCCTATGATAGCTTTTGTTATGTTTTGACACAGATCGGCGAAGTCTTCGAACAAAACCATTGCCTCCTAGAATTACATAAATATTCTTCATTTATCTTACATTAACTTCAAGTTTTAACAATACCTAATAATGTTGTAAACACGATGAAAATTGAATTTCTGAACCAGGACAGTCGACAAAGGTAGACAGGCCTGTAATAATGGAAATTTGAGCTATAATTTCAGATCTCTCTCGAGAAAAAAAGAAACAACAACAAAGAAAAAAAGCAACAAAGACCAAAGAAACAACAACAACAACAAACGTAAGTCAAACACAAGAACAAGGAAAACTATAAGAAAAAGCCGAAAACAACAACAAGGACAAAAACAATAACAGATAAGAGAAATAAATTTAAAAAATGACAGATCCTTGCAGATATTTACTTAGTTATTTCTGTTTGTTTGTTCCTTTCCTTTTTTGGTTTTTGTTTTGTTTTTTTTTTTTTTAACTCGTTGTAGTATGCTATTTAACATGGAAGAAGGAATATCGGATACCATGTGCCTGCTCAGAACGCTGCATTCTTAAATATTTGATAAATTGTATCGTGAGAGAAAAATGGTTGTTTCACCAAAAGAAACTCTAAAACTATTTAAGTTTCAGATCTCCTGAGATTTCGAAGAGTAACCTGTCTTAAAAAAGATTCTTATAATGCTCTTAAACGCCTTCGCGATTACTTTAAGATGGTCACTTTCGAGATAATGCACTTGCTATATACTTAAATGATCGATGAATAAAAATAAATTGTGATAGATACCTTTAGGGAACTTTCTCTGCTAATTTCTATTCCATCAAGTTCACAAACGTATACATTTGCCTAGGGCAAAAAAGACAACATTTTTAACTAACGCCTTAGATTGTGGAAATAAAAAAAGCAAGGGCTAGGAGAAATTGCAATACATACCAGATTCTCAGTTGTTACTGGCGGCGATGATGGGCTTGTCCAAGTTAAAGATGACAATGACGTTGACGATAAAGAAGTCGAGGGCGAAGACGAAGATGATGACATGCATAGTGATGATGATGGTGACGATAATGATGAAGATGATGATAAGGCTGGCAACGACGATGAAAACGAAGATAACGATGACGACACTGACAATGACGACGATGAAAAAGATAACAGTGGTGACACTGACAATGACGATGATGACGAAGGCGACGATGATGACGACGATGTTAATAGTATTGAAGATATTGCAGACAATGACGATGATGATAATGACGATGACGATGACGACAATGTCGAGAATGTCCAAGGAAACAAGTGAGATGATGATAACAGCGTTGATGGTGGATGTTGTGGTGACAATGGTGGTGATGATGATGATGATGATAATGAGTACGACAACGACGATGATAGTAACGATAATGAGAAAGTGGATGACGATGATGACAATGGTGATGGTAAGAGAAATGAGAATGTTGTCGGCGACCCGTGCGATGATTGCAAGTGAGCTGTATGTTAAAGCAAAATCTCACTATCAAAATGCGATCTAAACTAATTTCGGAACGCTCCCATGTAATAGAAGAAATTGGGAAATTGACTTTCAAGATATCTTTTTTTTCTTAGAGGGGGCACTTATAAACACTTACTCGTGGTCTATTTATCTTTCAAATGGTACTCACTAAAAGTATGATAATTTACTCTACCTTCTGTAGCTGATGGTTGAGTTCTGATGACTTCAGTTGTCGTAGCTGAGGTAGTTACAATAATATTTGACGTAGATAAAGTCCTGTAATTGAAATTTGAGCACTTCTGCTCAGTCAGTGAATTGACTAGCTGGATTTCTGTCCTGTTACAAGAGCCAGCGTCGCACTTTTGTTTACACTCATTTGCGGTGCAAAACATATGGCATCCATCTACTCCCCCGTTGCACTTCTGATCACACTCTTTCCCGCAGCATTCCAGATTACATATTTTAGCATCGCAATGTTGCAAACATTTACCGCTACTCACGTAGCATTGTGCATCGCATATATCTATTCTTCCGTTGCATTTCTGTTCGGGTATATCCTGTAT